TTGGGCTTTTGCCATGTTGCCCAGGCTGGTCTCAAACTCCTGAGCTCAAAAGATCCACCTGCCTCAGCCTCTCAAAGTGTTGGGATTACAGGCATGAGCCACCATACCCAGCTATATATTCATAGCATTCTTATTTTGTAGTATACATCATTTATTTATTTATTTATTTTAACAACTGCATTAACTGATGTGGTATATATCTTTTTTTAAAATTGCATTTTAGGTTTTGGGGTACATGTGAAGAACATGCAAGATTGTTGCATAGGTACACACATGGCAGCGTGATTTGCTGCCTTCCTCCTCTTCACCTATCTCTGGCATTTCTCCCTATGCTATCTCTTCCCAACTCCCCACCCCCTGCTGTCCCTCTCCTATTTCCCCCCAACAGATCCCAGTGTGTGATGCTCCCCTCCCTGTGTCCATGTGTTCTCATTGTTCAATACCCACCTATGAATGAGAACATGTGGTGTTTGATTTTCTGTTCTTGTGTCAGTTTGCTGAGAATAATGGTTTCCAGGTTCATCCATATCCCTACAAAGGACACAAACTCATCATTTTTGATGGATGCACAATATTCCATGGTGCCACATTTTCCCTGTCCAGTCTATCATCGATGGGCATTTGGGTTGGTTCCAGGTCTTTGCTATTGTAAACAGTGCTGCAATGAACATTCGTGTGCACGTGTCCTTATAGCAGAACGATTTATAATCCTTTGGATATATACCCAGTAATGGGATTGCTGGATCAAATGGAATTTCTATTTCTAGGTCCTTGAGGAATCGCCACACTGTCTTCCACAATGGTTGAACTAATTTACACTCCCACCAATAGTGTAAAAGTGTTCCTATTTCTCCACATCCTCCTCAGCATCTGTTGTCTCCAGATTTTTTAATGATCGCCATTCTAACTGGCATGAGATGGTATCTCAATGTTGTTTTGATTTGCATTTCTCTGATGACCAGTGATGATGAGCATTTTTTCACGTTTGTTGGCCTCATGTATGTCTTCTTTTGTAAAGTATCTGTTCATATCCTTCGCCCACTTTTGAATGGGTTTGTTTGTTTTTTTCTTGTAAATCTATTTTAGTTCTTTGTAAATTCTGGATATCAGCCCTTTGTCAGATGGGTAGACTGCAAAAATTTTTTCCCATTCTGTTGGTTGCCAGTTAACTCTAATGACTGTTTCTTTTGCCCTGCAGAAGCTGTGGAATTTGATTAGGTCCCATTTGTCTATTTTGGCTTTTGTTGCCAATGCTTTTGGTGTTTTGGTCATGAAGTCCTTGCCTACGCCTATGTCCTGAATGGTTTTGCCTAGATTTTCTTCTTGGGTTTTTATGATGTTAGGTCTTATGTTTAAATCTTTAATCCATCTGGAGTTAATTTTAGTGTAAGGTGTCAGGAAGGGGTCCAGTTTCTGCTTTCTGCACATGGCTAGCCAGTTTTCCCAACACCATTTATTAAACAGGGAATCCTTTCCCCATTACTTGTTTTTGTCAGGTTTGTCAAAGATCAGATGGTTGTAGATATGTTGTGTTGCCTCCGAGGCCTCTGTTCTGTTCCATTGGTCTATATCTCTGTTTTGGTACCAGTACCATGCTGTTTTGATTACTGTAGACTTGTAGTATAGTTTGAAGTCCGGTAGTGTGAGGCCTCCTGCTTTGTTCTTTTTGCTATTGACTTGGCTATGCGGGCTCTCTTTTGGTTCCATATGAAGTTTAAGGTGTTTTTTTCCAGTTCTGCGAAGAAGGTCATTGGTAGCTTGATGGGAATAGTGTTGAATCTGTAAATTACTTTGGGCAGTATGGCCATTTTCATGATATTGATTCTTCCTAACCATGAACATGGAATGTTTCTCCATCTGTTTGTGTCCTCTCTTATTTCGCTGAGCAGTGGTTTGTAGTTCTCCTTGAAGAGGTCCTTTACGTTCCTTGTTAGTTGTATTCCTAGGTATTTTATTCTTTTTGTGGCAATTGTGAATGGCAGTTCATTCTTGATTTGGCTCTCTTTAAGTCTGTTATTGGTGTATAGGAATGCATGTGATTTTTGCACATTGATTTTGTATCCTGAGACTTTGCTGAAGTTGCTTATCAGCTTCAGGACATTTTGGGCTGAGACAATGGGGTCTTCTAGATATACAGTCATGCCATCTGCAAATAGAGACAATTTGACTTCCTCCTTTCCTATTTGAATACCCTTTATTTCTTTTGATGTGGTATATATCTTAAAGGATAGTGTCTTGTAGACTGTTATGTGAATAGCACTCCCTGGGGTTATAGAGTGCACAACCTGTACATCTGTACACGTCGGCTCTCTATATGCCAAGACTGTCCTGATTGTATTTGTATCCCCTCACCATATACTTACTGAATATTTTACTTTGAGGTAAAGTGGGCAGCGTCACAAACCATTATGGCTAGGGCGCAGGGTTGGAATAAAGAGAGGAAAAGCTGGAGAGATAAGCAGAGGCCAGAGAGTGAAGGGCCTGGTAAACCTTGCAGGAGTCCAGCCTTGCTCGGGAGGGCAGCTGTGGGGCAGCGATACAAACCGACTTGCATTTCAGAAGGATCACTCTGGCTGTAGGCTAGAGAATGCATTGGAGGTGAGCGGGGAGCAAAGCACTAGAAACCAGTAAGGAGGCTCCTCTGGGTGAGAAATGACTGTGTTTTGACTTCATTAGTAGTAGTGTGCATGGAGAGAGGTGGACTGTTTCAAGAGATGTTTCGGAGGTAGAAAATAGGTAGATCTCAGGATTGTACACAAGGGCACAGCTCCTAGCGTGAGGAGGTGCTGAATGTAGCAGTTTCATTCTCAGAGCAAAAGGACAATACTGAAACTGGTATTTTATTTTTTTAAGTGTTGAGAATTTGTGAAATATTCTAAAGAAATAAGTGAAACCAAATACTTAAACTCTTCAAATGCGTTTTATTTTATTTATTTATTTATTTATTTACTTATTTATTTATTTTTCTGAGGTAGAGTCTCTCTCTGTCACCCAGGCTGGAGTGCGGTAGCACGATCTTGGCTCACTGCAACCTCCACCTCCCGGGTTCAAGTGATTCTTCTGCCTCAGCTTCCCTAGTAGCTGAAATTACAGCCGGGCACCACCGAATCCGGCTGATTTTTGTGTTTTTAGTAGAGACGAGTTTCATCATGTTGGCCAGGCTGGTCTCAAACTCCTGACCTCAGGTGATCTGCCCACCTTGGCCTTCCTAAGTGCTAGGATTACTGGTGTGAGCCACCATGTCCGGCCAAATGCATTTTATTTATTTTTATTTTTTTAATTTTTATTTATTTATTTATTTATTGAGATGGAGTTTGCTCTTGTTGCCCAGGCTGGAGTGCAGCGGCACAATTTTGGCTCACTGCAACCTCTACCTCTCGGGTTCAAGTGATTCTCCTGCCTCAGCCTCCCGAGTAGCTGGGATTACAGGCATGTACCACCACACCTGGCTATCTTTTGCATTTTTAGTAGAGACGGGTTTTCTCCACTTTGGTCAGGCTGATTTCAAACTCCCGATCTCAGGTGATCTGCCCGACTCAGCCTCCCAAAATGCTGGGATTACAGGCATGAGCCACAGTGCCCAGCTATGCATTTTATGTATTATGAAACAAGTAAAATGTACAATAACAAAAATATAAACGTTGCTTATTATTATTCTAATATAAGTTGTTAGCAGATAAAATTAATGAAAATACTATTTTAAAAACCCTGAAGAGCCCGTATTGCCACTACAAAGTGGCTGATGTTACCTTTCAATTAGATATGGAATGCAGGTGAGGATAGCAGCTGAGCACTGTATTTTATTTTATTTTATTTTTTATTATTTTTTTTTTTGTTTGTTTGTTTTTGAGACGGAGTTTCGCTCTTGTTACCCAGGCTGGAGTGCAATGGCGCGATCTCGGCTCACCGCAACCTCCGCCTCCTGGGTTCAGGCAATTCTCCTGCCTCAGCCTCCTGAGTAGCTGGGATTACAGGCACGCACCACCATGCCCAGCTAATGCTTTTGTATTTTTAGTAGAGACGGGGTTTCACCATGTTGACCAGGATGGTCTCGATCTCTTGACCTCGTGATCCACCCGCCTCGGCCTCCCAAAGTGCTGGGATTACAGGCTTGAGCCACCGCGCCCGGCCTTTATTTTATTTTTGAGATGGAGTCTTGCTCTGTCACCTGGGCTGGAGTGCAATGGCACAATCATGACTCACTGCAGCCTTGACATCCCTGGTTCAAATGATCCTCCTACCTCAGCCTCCCAAGTAGCTGGGACCATGGGACTGCACCACCACACAGGGCTAATTTTTTTTTTTTTCTTTCTAGAGATGGGGTTTTGCCATGTTGCCCAGAATGGTCTTGAACTCCTGGCCTTAAGTGATCCTTCTGCCTTGGCCTCTCAAAGTGCTCGGATTATAGGCATGAGCCAGTGTGTCTGGCCTATTTTATTTTCTTTGACATCCAGAATACATGCTGGAGAGAACTATATTTAAAATGTTGGATCTGAGGTGCTTATGGAATGCCTCCATAAGCAGTCAAGGGTAAGAATTTGGGAATATATAAACTTGGCCAATATGTCAAAACCTATGATCTTGCCATATTGGCCAGGCTGGTCTCAAGATGCAAACTGAGAATCATAAGGCCATAAAGACAATTGAAACTGTGAAAATGGCTGTGTGTAAGAGAGTTGATTGAATTCTGGCACTCTGAAGAAAGAAAAAAAGAAAAATTAAAAGAAAAGGCAAAAGCAAAAAACAAAGAAAAATTAAAAAATTAAAAGAAAAAGCAGGTTGCAGAGTTGAGTGTCCTGAGAGGTCAGATTGCTGTCAGACATGGCACATGGACATGGACATAGTAAAATGGAACTTCCAGATTATAGACAATGGAAGATAGAAGGGACACCATTAGAAACTGTCCAGAAGAGGCTGGCTGCACAAGGGCTAAGGGATCCATGGGGCCACAATGAAGCTTGGAGATACATGGGTGGCTTTGCACAAAAGGTTACCTTTTGTGATGTATTCTTTAAAGGATTCAAATGGGGATTTGCTGCATTTGTGGTAGCTGTAGGAGCTGAATATTACCTGGAGTCCCTGAATAAAGATAAGAAGCATCACTGAAGATAATACCTGGAAGTATCATAGTGGTTTCTTAACTCTCCAAAATAAGATTTCTTCACTATAGCCTACTTGTCTTGTTTGTGCCTTAAAGAATATTAGTACGATTTAATAAAGTAAAATAAGAAATATATATGCCAAAAAAAAAAAGAAAAAGAAAAAAACAAACAAGAAAGAGAGTCGAGCTGAGATTTAGAAAAGCCTAGGACTTTAACTGAACTAGAAGACATATAGGTAGAGACTGAAGAAAAGAGCAAGTCAAAGAAAGCTATGAGGTTAGGAGTAAATGGATGCTGTCAGTGGAGTGCTGGTAAATGTTTAACAACTGGCTCTCTAGGGAGGTGAAGGGAAGCCCCAATCTATAGTGTTTGCTGAATTCCATGGTGTAAATACTCCCATCACAGTCAATCTCAAGTTATCTGCCGCACTGAGCGTGGAGCTGGGAAGAGGTGAGCACAGTCAGAACTTGTGATCTCATACAAGCGTATGCTGGTCCACAGCTGGGCGCAGTCCTGACGGAAAGAGAGGATTCTGTCGGGGAGATACGGGGGACATGCTTCAAAGATAACATAGACCACATAAAGACAGATAATAGCAAGTGTGGGCGAAGATGTGGAGAAACTGGAAACTTCATACATTGCTGGTGGGAACAGAAAACGATATCGCTGTTATGGACCACAGTTTGGCAGTTCCTCACGAAGTTAAACACGGAGTTACCATATGACCTGGCAATTCTACTCTAAGTATGTTCTCAAGAGAATTGAGAACATATATTCACACACAAACTTGTACATTATTATTCTAGCAGTATTATTCATAATAGCCAAAAAGTACAAACAACCCAAATGTCCATCAACTGATAAATGGGTGAAATAAAATATGGTATATCCATACAATGGAATTTTTTTTTTTTTTTTTTTTTTTTTTAGTGTGGTTGTGCGACTCAGCTCACTGCAACCAACCTTTGCCTCCCAGGTTTAAGAAATTCTCCTGCCTCAGCCTTCTGAGTGGCTGGTATTACAGGCATGCTCCACCATGCCCTGCCAACTTCTGTAATTTTAGTAGAGATAGGCTTTTGCCATACTGGCCAGGCGAACTCCTGGCCTCAAGAGATCCACCTGCGTTGGCCTCCCAAAATGCTAGAATTATAGGCATGAGCCACCATGCCTGGCCCATATGATGGAATATTATTCAGCCACAAAAAGGAATTAAGTACTGATCATGCTACAGTATGTACAACTTACTGCTTGAAAGCATTATGATAAGTAAAGGAAGCCAAACAGAACAGACTACGTATTGTATGATTGTGTTTATATGAAGTGTCCACAACAGGTAAATACATAGAGTCAGAAAATAGATTCACGGTTGCCAGGGGGTGTGGGGAAGGTAAAATGGAAAGTGCCTGCTGATGAATATGAAATATGAAGCCGGGCGCGGTGGCTCATGCCTGTAATCCCAGCACTTTGGGAGGCCGAGGCAGGTGGATCACGAGGTCAAGAGATCGAGACCATCCTGGTCAACATGGTGAAACCCCGTCTCTACTAAAACTACAAAAAATTAGCTGGGCATGGTGGTGCGTGCCTGTAGTCCCAGCTACTCAGGAGGCTGAGGCAGGAGAATTGCCTGAACCCAGGAGGCGGAGGTTGCGGTGAGCCGAGATCGCGCCATTGCACTCCAGCCTGGGTAACAAGAGTGAAACTCCGTCTCAAAAAAAAAAAAAGAAATATGAAAATAAGAATATGAAAATATTCTGGGATGAGATAGTGGTGATGCTTTCACAATCTTGCGAATATACTAAAACCTCCTAAATTGTATAATTTAAATTTGAATTTTAGAGTATATGATTTATAGCTCAGTTTTTAAATAAATGGTAAAGTGAGGTTCAGCTGCCTGTAAGGTTTTTTTTTTTTTTTTTTTTTCCTTTCTTTCATATCTCTTAATTTTTTTCCCAACAGACTTTTAAGTAAGATTTCCT